GAGGTCCCTTCCCACCCCCCCACGCTGTTTTTTTTGGGGGGTTTCTCAGTGGCTCACCTCTCTCTGGGTTCTCTCTCCAGCTGCTGTGAGCCCGTGCACCTCCCCACGGGTGCCCCAGACCGTCCCCATGGACCTGAGGATCGGGCAGCGCCTCGTCAAGCCCGGCTCGGACACGGCCCTGCTGGCCCTGAAGCACACCCAGCAGCTGCAGCACCAGCTCTTCCTCGCCAGCCTGCACCAGCAGCAAGTGGAGCAGCTCGCCCACCAGCACGTCAGGGTAAGGGCACCCCGGGGTGCAGGGGGGGCACCCACTTTGGGACCCCCTTGGCCGAGGATCGGACGCTTCGAAGGATGAATTTTGTCCCATCCTCCCCCCTCTGAGCACCCAGCTCGTGGTCTCTGGTGGCTCTTCTGGGAAGTTCTCACCTTGGGGCACCCAAAATTGCCCCATCCTGGCCCCTGGCACCATCACACAGCCCACGGTGAGGTTTAGCTGTGAGGGTTTCCAGCTTCAGAGGTAGGGCTGGTCGTAGAGGGCCACATCCAGGGAAGCTGTGACCATCTCCAGGCACAGAGGTCACCCCCATCCTGTCCCCACATCCCAGGGCTGCCCCGTGCTCCTGGATCCAGATGGGATTTCCAGGGAATTCAGCCCTGGGCGAGTCATCCTGAGGCTTTTTGGGACAGGCTGAGCATCAGCTTGGTCCCCAGCAGGAGAGTTTGAGGTGTTGCTGTTGGGTGCTTCGAGCTGTTAGAGCTTTTTGACCCCTCTGTGAGATCAGATCCCCTCAGCTCTGGAAAACACCGAGCCCCAAACTTTTAAGCTTGGCAGAATAGGTATTTTTGTTTTCTTTTTTCCCCTTTTTAGTCAACTCTGGTCGATATTTTTGGTTGTGTGACAACGTGCCCTGGCTACAGATAGGTCAGAACCCCACGAAAGGCAGCGGGTTGAAACAAGCAGGTTTGGGTTTGACAGTGTCCCCAGGGAGAGGGTCTCTGGAGGCAAAGCTGCGTCTGGTTTGCTCTGCTGAAGCAACTCAACCCAGGCTTGGCAGCCAGGGCTCCAAAAATGACCTGAGGGACCCTCTGGGACGGGCTCCATCACCGTGGCCTCGTGGCGAGGGGCTCAGGGGGGCTGTGGGAGAGGCTGGTGGGGGGGCTGGTGGTGCTGAGGTCCCTTCTCTTGCAGGTGACCATGGAGTCCCCTCACCGTGAGGCTGAGCCCGGGCAGCAGGAGCAGGAGCTGCGCCAGATCCTCAACAAGGACAAGAGCAAGAGAAGTGAGAACCTGAGAACCTCCCCGTGTCCCCACCAGCACCTGGCACTGGGCACCCCGTCCCTACCTGGGGGGCTGTGTCCCCAAAACCACAGGGAGTGGGGTCAGGGTGGTTTT